CCTTTAAAATTTCAGCCTTCTAGTTTCTCGGATTCCCGAGTTAGCGATTTACCGTAAAAAACTTTGGCGGGCTCATACGTAGGTACCACGCTTACCCGGGGACTGGATTTGAGCTCATTAATACTCACTTGGACCGGGAACGTACCCTTAAAATTTCAGCTCCCCAGCATCTCTGGCTCCCGGGTTAGCAGCTTACCCGTAAAAAACTTTGCCGGACTCGTATGGGTACACGCGGATAAGAGCGATCATTTTGGGAATGGGGGCGGGTACATGCATGTAGATTAAGTTCCCAAAATTTCAGCCCCGTAGCTTTTGTAGGTCTCGAGATGAAAAATCGGTACAGACGAAAACACAGACACACAAACACACACACACACACGCGCTGACAACCCCTCGTCAATATGCGTTTTCTGCATTGCATAGCTGCAAAAAACGCATAAAAAGAGCAAGCTAATGCCCAGCACAGCAAAGGTGCTCATCAAATTTCAGCGAAAACTCACTTGACAGGCCGAGTGCTTGCGCTGTCGATATTCGGCACGCTTCTGCATTCTGTCGCGCTGACCCATTTCGGACCGATTGAATTCCTTGGCTCGAGCCTTCCATTCCTCTTTCTCCTCATAGCCCAACGCCTGAATATAGCAATCAATAACGCTACCATTAACCGAAAGGAATCGGGAGCTTTGGCATCTGCGCCAAAACTAAGAAGGATGTGAAGTGAAGATGACACTAAAACAAGTTTATCGGAAAAAAGGCAAAATAAAAGGGCCATGAAATCATATTAGAAAAAATCAAAATAAATAGCAACGCGCATCAGACTAGATGAGTGCGCCATCATGTGTTTTATGCGATCAGCCCATCGAACGATTGCCTATTAATGATTTTCACTGCTTTGTACTTTAGTCTATGCAAAAATAATTCAAACACTGGAAAACAGTTAAAAATTTCACGCACCAGTGCATGAAAGGTGAATTCGAAATCTTGAAGGGTGAATGTCTTTCCGTGATTCCTGAGCTAATAGTTTACCCGTAAAAACTTTCACTAGCCCGTAGGTGATACTCTAGATTTTCGTGCAACTTTAACAGTGTTCGATGCAGCTTCACCCGTGTTCGGTGCGAATATCCCCCAGTAAAATCAGTGACACGGAATCCTCCGCACACTGCCATGCAGCCCCTCTCAAGGTGCCGGGGTAAAACTGAGTGGAACTTACAGCCCAATGGCCCTGGCCAAGCTGCTGCAACTCCCAGGGAGGAATACGCCGGCGCTGTTGCTTCTCGAGCTGCGGACGGATCACCCCTTCCAGGAACATCCAGTAACCGGACTGCTTATCGTTCAATCCCTTCACCATCGCTACCCAACAGTGAACAGGCCTGAAACAAAGGCAATTACAAAAACTCAGCTCGGCTTCTGATTGGTGGTGTGCTTTTGCCTTTCAGCGCTTTCCTCTATCATCTCCACCAACACTCTAACGCGACACCACACACTGGAACTTTGCCAGACGCGCCGGGTAGCGCTGCCTAGCGTCTGGCAGCTGGATCGCGTGGCCGAGAGGTGATGGCTGGGAGGATTGGACGTGGTTGGGGGTGTTGTTTGGTAGTTACCCAGATACAGTTCGGAGGGCGCAACTGAGGCTAGGGTAGTGGAGAGGAATGAAGCTGCTGGTTAGGAGTTCAGGACGATAAACGGTGACAGTGGTCGGAGGTGGTAGGTGCCCCGATGAAGGCTCAGGGGGTAGGGATTGGAGACAAGATACAAGAGGGGAAGAAGGGTGCTAGTAAGGAGTTCGAAGCAAGAACTGCAAATTACCAGTAAAGGGGAAAATAAACCAACACGGCACTACAAAGAAAAGTAATTTAAAATAGACCTGAATTTGTGAATAAAAGGGAAAAAAGCAAAGTCAAAGAATTGGCGCCTGTAACCAAAAGCAAAAGCAAACAAAAAACTGAGCTTATGCGAGTAGGATTTGTCTTACAAAAACCCGTCTTCAGTAAGCGGTCCCCGCATTTATGAGGTTTGCGCTCAGCCGAAACTGAGGGCAAATAATTCTGGCGAGATTTACTGAAGCTTATGCTTAGGTGAAGCTAAGGGCGAATAAGTTCAATTGGATTATACAAGAATTGCAGGCAATCT